AGCAGCACAACGTCACAGCATCACCACCAAAAAGCCAAGACAACGAGAGCACCAGTCAACCAACCAGAAAGCCACAGACACAAACGCGCACCTGTATGATTGATGCCATCAAGTTGGTAGTAGTTCCGTTGTATAAATGATATGCTGATTTTTACAGTCAATCAACTAGTGTTGAAGACCACTGATACTGCCATTTCATTCTGAAGACAATCGGCAATCGACATGCGTCGTTGAAATTAGCACTGAATTGACTAATTAAAAAAAAATCTCGCTAAAACCGGCAACTTTGCAACTTTTGCATCTGTCACTTTGTCTTGTCTCTCAACAGCAGTTTTTTTTGCCGTTGTCAAAAGTTGCACTGCCAGTGTGTTGTCAGCGGTGGCCAGCAGCACTGGTTTTGCACCGGTGTTGTTTCTGTTAAAAATAGCATCATATACTTTTTTCTCACTTTTTTGACGTGACAAAAACCCTCAACTCATCACATTAAAAATAGAGCCGACTGCCTGTTTTTCTCTTAACCGACTCCTAGTAACTACATTCTGGCTCAACTTTCAAGCATAATAAAAAGAATTGTTAATCGATTTTACAATCTTTTTTTTTGTTTTTCTTCACCTTTATCATCTTTACGACCTTTTCCATCACTTTCTCCCGCTTTTGGCACCTGTTGCTATCATCATTGGGTTCTCCTTTCCTAAAGTCATAAAGAGAAAAGATTTTGTGCTGTTCACTGTGTCGGCACAAAACAGATTATTGTATTATTACAACATTGCACCGTTCTGCCGAATTGAGCACTGCTGAAGTGGTTGGTGTCTTTCCAGCGGCAACTTGTTGTACAGTTGTAGTCTCTTATCTGCACTGATCGATTTGGCAAGCCATCACCGGCAGCACCAGCAAAGGCCACCTCCAAGAACAGACTGCTAATAAAAAGCACCGACAGGTATACTATTCTCCTTTTCTGTTATTATTATTATTAAGCGCATACCATAAAGTAATTTGTCGGACAATTAAACAGCGCAATTTAAGTGTCCAACTGCTGCTGCTGTGGCTGTCATTTACTGACACAAACAGACACTACAGTTACGTAGACTGGTGGTGATGTTCACAAAGTTGCAGTGCAGCCAGTGCATGTTTCCCAACCAAAGATGGTTAAAAAACCTGTTAAAAACCAGTGAGAATGATTTTGTGAACGCCAGCACACCGGTATCAGCTTTCAGGTACTCTTTCTTGCGCACAAATTTGATGTTTAGCCAACACATAGCTTACGCTAATTAAATCAAAACACAAACTTTATCAACCTGTTTTATGGCTGAAATATTGTCTAAAAATGCACTTTAAAATGCATGAAATTTGAGTTGTCTGCCAACTCGCACTAAACAACTCTACACCTGTACAGTGCGGTTAGGAAGGCAAGCACTTAATTAAACAGCATTTCTATATTAGACTGTTTTTACTGCTCCATTTGTTGATAATTTCAAAGTACGTGAGAGAAGACTTTCACTTGCACAGTAGGTACACTCCTGACTACCTGTTGAACGCACTTGAAAAAGCAAAGTTTTACCAATTATTGAATTGTGGTTTGTAAAGATCCATATTTAGGTACAATTTGCAATAAATTTGCAATTATGCTCAACAATTTAAAACTATTGAAAAATGCTATTTCCCATTTCCCATCAGACAGTTTCTTTTTCCACAGTATCCAACCATTATACTGACTCAATATATTGGTTAAAGGAATTTACTAGTAATTAAACTGCAATCCATTTCTCAATAAATATTTCATCTGCTGCCTAGTTGCACTTCATTTATTGCACCTGTTGCAGCTCAGTTTCAGTGTTTGGGATAGCCTGGTGAAAGTGCAAAATGCAGTAGCACTGCTGACGGGTAGCACAATAAATTGTTTCCAGGTGCAAATCAGATCTTCTAAGTAAGAGAAAGATTGCCGCCTCTTCGCAGTACAAAACTCCAGAGCAACCAGATCAGTCAGATCAACAGCAGTGCTGGTGTCCTCAGCGTCTGAAATGAACTGTATAAAAGTAGTATTTTGTGCTGTATTGTAGGACATTCTGTGGGTGCATTTTCAGAAATGCGCTTTACTTTCATTTTAGTCAGAAACCTCAGGTACACCCCCGGTGCTTGCTGTCAAAAAGTACAGCACAATACTGTCACTGAGTGCTACCATTCACGCACAAATCAAGTGGTGAAACGGTATTTTTTTATTAGTTGATGCTACGTGACTGTAATGTGATCAATTAGAGACAAAAAGATAGGCATTCTGGACTAAAGAAAAGTGTTAACAGCCCTTGCGGCGGCAATCATAAAAAAGGTGTTGGGGAATAGGAGAGAGAGATAAGAGTCAGAGAGAGATACATCGGAGATTGTCCGCTTCTGGCTTATCTCGGGCAGTCATTTGGTAGACAATGTGTCACTGTTGTTGCTGAGGTTGTTGTCAACTTAATCACAGGTAGATAGAGATAAAATGAAGAGAAAGAGAGGAGCAGCAGTGCTGATTGAAAGCAAACTGAGATAAACTGAGCGTGCACTTCGGCGAAGTGTATATAAGAATGTAACCAGTGCCATTGTCTCTTTAGCTGAAGCTTTCCAGTTTACCAAACAACCTGAACCTACAACCTGAAACAGTTACATCAACTCATCAACTCCAGAAAATCACCATTACAAAAATGTACAAAGGTCTGAGCGCCAAGATTCTGGGGCCGATGATCAGCTCCGGCGGCCGGAACACCGCCTCCCAGCTGACCTTCCACCGAGGGGTGGTGCTGGCACTGACCTTCATCGTCTACGCGACGTACCACGCGGCCCGTCGGCCGCTGTCGATTGTGAAGGCGGAGTTGCACAAGAACTGCACCGCCACGCCTGCCTCTGCTGCCGTTGACAGTCTGCTGAGCAATGACACCGAATGTGGCTGGGCGCCCTTCGACAAGGAGAACGGCAAGGAGCTGCTGGGCGTCATGGACAGCTGCTACCTCTTCCTCTACGCCTTTTGCATGTTCGGCGCCGGTTACGTTGCTGAGCGCAGCAACCTGCGCGTCTTCCTTTCCGTCTGGCTGGTGGTCTGCGGCGCCATCAGCATCGCCTTTGGCATGGCCAAGTTCTTCAAGATTCACTCGCTGTGGTACTTTGTGGTGCTGCAGATGGCCGCCGGTGTGGCGCAAACCTCAGGGTGGCCGGCGGTGGTCGCCGTCGTCGGCGAGTGGTTCGGCAACACCAAAAAGGGCCTCATTCTCGGCCTGTGGAACTGGCACACCAGTGTGGGCAACATTATGGGTGCTGCTGTGGCAGGTAGGTTTTGTTATTACTTTGTGTTTTGAAACTTGATAACTGATATTCACGTTTTTACAGGCGCATTTGTCGAAGATGATTGGGGCCTTTCCTTTGCCGTTCCCGGCCTGATCTGCTTTGGCGTCGCCATCTTGGTCTTTTTCTTTCTCATTCCCAGTAAGTTACTGAAATGATTTGTTTGTTTGAAAATCAGCTGATACAACTTCATCTCTTCTTCGTTAAACTCTAGAGCCAACTTCTGTGGGACTGCACGTTGACTTTACGCCCACTGAAGAGGAGGCTGTTGATGATGGGCTGGAAGAGGCCAACTCAGCTGACAACAACAACAACAACAACAAAACTGGCCGCAAAAATGACAAGAGCGAGGCCGGTCAGTTCCCAGTGGACGATGGCATGTACACTATTGCCTTGGGAGAGACGCAGAGTTCCAGCAAAGAGACACTGGAACACCAGCCGCTGGACCACGGTGAGGAGGCGATCACCATTTTGAAGGCAATCCGCATTCCTGTAAGTTCATGATAAAAAAAATTCTGATAACTCACATTGCATCATCATCATCATCACTCTTCCAGGGCGTCATTGAGTTCTCGTTGTGTCTGTTCTTTGCCAAGCTAGTCAGCTACACCTTCCTCTTCTGGCTGCCGCTGTACCTGGAGGAGACCAGCCACTTGTCTTCCTCCTCTTCGGCCTTTCAGTCCATCATGTTTGACATTGGCGGTTGTCTGGGCTCCATCGTCGCCGGCTTCATGGCGGATCGAAGCGGCGCCAGCGGCATCACCTGCATCATCTTCCTCACGCTTGCAATTCCATCGGTAAGTAAAGAGTTGTTGTTATTAACATTGTTTCTTTACCCTTATTTACCGTTACTTTTTCTCCTCAGCTGTACTCGTACTATCTTTGGTCGGCGACGTCCACTCTGCTGAACCAGGTGCTGCAGTTCATCGCCGGCGCCTTCGTCAACGGGCCCTACGCGCTGATCACCACGGCAGTGTCGGCGAATCTGGCCTGCAAGGTGCCCTCTCAGGCGGCCATGGCCACCGTGTCGGCCATCATCGACGGCACTGGATCGATTGGCGCCGCCGTGGGCCCGCTGTTGGCCGGCGTGGTTTCCGGGAACAAGCAATGGATCAACGTCTTCTACATGTGCATCGCCGCCGACGTCATTGCCACGCTCGCCCTCATTCGCATCGGCCTCGAGGACTTTAGACGTCTTCGCGGCAAATAGTGCTTCACCCACTTTATTATTTTTTTGCCTTAGTTAATCCAGTTCAGTGTAGAGCGATAGTAAGAAATCTCATGCAGTCAGTCATCTGTACAACATCACCCAACACACCCACCTGAACATCTGATCATCACTTTTTGTTGACCTGTTCACAACCAAAGACCAATCTGTGCTTCGGCAAGAACATTCATCATCATCATCATTATTTTTTAGGTTTTTTTCAGTAATACTTTTTTTTGTCAAAGCGTTGTCAAGCGCTTGAAGGTGCACATGAATAAAATGTTTTAACTTTTTTAAAACTGTTTTAGAGTTAGCCTTGTAAAAGCCAACAAATTGTTAGAAGCGTAAAAAGCTTAAAAAGTAAATTGCTGAACAAACAGCTTAAAATATTCAAACAGTAAAATATTGGTATGTTTGTTTAGCAGAAAAGGCACTCCATTGAATTGAAACAGCTCACAGCTGCCCTTGTTGTCGTCCTTCATTAGCCAAAAATGATATAGGCAGCAAAGAGGGCAACCAGCAAAGCGCAAAAAGCAGTGAGCAAATCAAAAGTTTGATGATCATCTGGATTTTCATCTTTTTTAGTTTGCTGCTGTTGTTCGCTGGCCGAAGAAGCACCTGAATCTTTGTCTGGAGCGGTTTCATTTTGCTTAGCTGAAGAAGCAGCCTCCTCATGTGGTTTGACATTCGATTCAACAGGCGGTGACTTCACTTGCTGCTGCTGCTGTCCTGAAGCATCAGGATTTTTGCCCAAAGCAGTTTGAGGCTCCTTAGCTTTAGGAGCTATTTCAGACTTCTTGTGCGGTTTTTCTTCAGAACTCAGTGAGCCTTGCTTTAGGGGTTGCTGTTGTCCTTTAGCAGAAGAATTTGAATCTTTGCCTGGAGACATGTCAAGCTGCTGGGCTCTAGGAGCAATCTCCAACTTCTTTGGCGGCTCTGCACTGGATTGAACAAGTGTCTGCTTTTCTGGCTGCTGTTTAGAATCTTTGGCAAAAGAATCAGCATCCTTGTCTGGAGCAGACTCGAGTTGCTTGGCCGGAGAAACAGCCTCAGACTCTTTGCCAGCAGGTTCAGCAGCCTTTTGCTTCGGTTCCGGATATTGTTTTTTAGCAGGAGAAGAAGGAGGAACAACTGATTCCTTGCCTGGAGAAGCGGCAAACTCAAACGCTTTGGAAATTCTAGAAAGCAGCTTCTTGGCGGTCGAAAGATTTTCCTCTGGCGGCTGCTTTTCCACCGGAGAAACTGCTTCATTCTCTTTGGTGGTTTCAGTCACATTTCCATTAGAATCCTTTGCGGCCGATTTATCATTAGAAGCAGTGGCAGCAGTAGGCACAACATCACTTTCAGTCTCTTTGAAGGCAGTTTCCTCAGCAGCAGCAGCAGTTTCTGCTGGAGCATTATTAACAGGTGAGCTCGACTGCTGTTCCTCAGACTGCTGCTGCTGTTGACCTTCAGTGCTAAGCATCTTCTTTTCTTTCTCACGCAACGAGCGATAGGGTGGCGGAGAGTTGCTTTTGGGCTTCTTTGCCGACTCGTCCTTTTCAGGAGCAGAAGGAGAAGGAGGTTGAGGAGGAGGCTCCTGAGTGTCCTGTGTGTCCTCGAATGATTCCGTCGTTTGGTAAACCTCCTTGCTGTCCTCCTCTGGCACCGCTGAATCAGGCTGCTTAGGCGGCAATTCAAAGCGACAGGGCACTAGCTTCTGCTCAAGAGGGCCGCCCTCTTTGTTTTTGGGTTTCATCTAGTGGTCAGAACACAAAAATTCTTCTGTTGTTTTTAGGCCGATCTAAAATGCAGTTTTTATTACCAGTGAGTGTGCGTTGTCAGCAGGAGAGGGAACCTGGTAAATCTCGCGCCACTGAAGTTGGAACGCCTGTTTTGCTTTGAGGAACTTTTCGAGGGCGCTCTCGCTCTTCGTTCCCTGGAAGGTGATTTTTACGGGAATGGTCTCACCGGGAGGAATCAGGCCACTACTTGGTTTCACAGTGTACCTACAAGGCATTTGTGCAGTTAGTAGTACTTGATTTACAAAATGTGATCACTTACATTTTTGGCTCCATAGTCCTCACTTTGAAGGCCAGGTAGTGCTCAGCTGAGCTGTTCCCAAAGTTGACCACAGCTTCGCTAGCTTGAGTGTATGAAACTTCAAAAAAAAGGTTTGCGATTAAAATAGCAGTTCTTATGTTAAAGGTAAAAAATACCATTAAAGTGAAACTCTTCGCTCGAAAGCGTAAGCAATTCAGGAGAAGTCATGTTTCACTTGTTGACAAATCACAAGCAAAAACTTTTCTAGAACGACAAACAGTTTTTTGCACTTTTATCAAATAGTGAGTCATTGTTCTGCTATTTTAAAAATTTCGAACAAATTCACCAGGGTCAGTATCGTTCAGTATCGTTCAGCATCGTTCAGCATCGTTCAGCATAGGTCAGCATCAGTCCGCATCGGTGTGTATCATCTGCATCCTCTGCATCGGTCATTATCGCTTAGTATCGGTCTGCACCAGAGCTTATCTAACTTTTTAAAAAAATGATATTTTTCTGTTTCAAAAGATGGCGCATTAAATTGAAAAAATTTTTTTTAAAACAGTTTTTTATTCAAAGAATTAAAATTGAATAGACTAACAAAAAATTATTTACACATTTAACATTAAATGAAGCGAAAAAAAAAGTTGTTTAACTTAAACCGCAGATAATTTTACATTTTAGATTCTGATCACACAGAATGATTTTGTCACATGTGTTCAAATAAAACGCCCAGAAAAATTGACTAATAAAGTCGACTAAAGCTTAGAGACGGTGGTCAGAGGTGTACTTGATCTGACCACAGTGTCTTTGTTCATCTTTGCCGTTAGCGGTTCTCTTTCTAGCTGCCTATTACTGGCTGCCGTAGTCACCAGATAGGCACTTGGCAGCACATTGGCCACATTGGTCAGCGTTCCATTGGTGGCGTGCTCCATACTGGTGCCCTTCTTGCAGCGAAAGAGGGCAAAGAAGTGACGACGAAAGCGCTGGTTCATAAAGCAGTACGTTATCGGATTGGTGCAGCTGCTCATGAAACAAATTCTGAAAAAAAATAAAAAAGAGTGTATGAATTAAAACAGTTTATTTTCATTAAAGCAGATCACTTACAGGTGACAAGTGGAGATGAGATCAATGCCAATCCAGTTGGCCAGCGTGTTGCTGCTGCTGTAGACGGCCTCCGGTGCGTAGAGCGCCATTGTGTCAATGCAGAAGATGGGCGTCCAGCAGAGGAAGAACTCGACGACGACGACGCACAGCATTACCACGACACGCCGCTGGCGAGCCTGAATTGTCTCAAAGTTGGAGTTGACGCGCAGTGGCTGATGCAAGCGAGTGCTGGTGGTTGATGATGCTGCTAGTGGTAGTGCTGGCCTTTTTTCATTCTCCTTATTCGAGAAGGCTACTACCCTTGCTGAGTTGAGCCTAGTTGCAGTGTTCTCATCCCCACCACCACCACCACCATTACTGCCATTTCTGCACAACTTTTTGGAAGCGGAAAGGCTAAGGAGATCACGGAAGTAAGCTTTCCTTGTGCTGGCGGTGGCATCCTCAGAGGAAGCTAGCTGTGCTGCACTGGTTGGCTTGGTGGAGGAAAGCGTCGAGGCAGTGGATGATGTCGAGGAGAAGGGAGAACTTCGTCGAATTTCAACAGTTTTATTGATCATTTTCTGCGCCGTCAGCTGCGTAGATTCCACTCGGGTGCCAGCACCATTGCCTGCATCATCACAATCTGCTTCTTCATTTTTTGTTTCCTTTGTCGTTGTGGTTTCTGTATTGGCAAAAAATAATTTGATTAGTAAGCTGATGATTGAATTTACGTAATTTCATTGAGAAAATCAATAAGGAAAGTGGTGGCGTTGGTCAAATCAGTTTGTCATTTTTTTCTATATCTAAATAGAAGAACATTTTTTACCTTTAGATTGATTTTTTCAGAATGCACCGAAATTGCTTTAACTCTGCCAAAATAAACTTTCTCTTTTTATGTAAGCTGCTTAGCAGTTGAGTTTGGCAGCCAACTTGAACATTATTGACAATTTTTTTT